GCTGCTGCTGCTGTTGCTGCTGGTGCTGATGCTCCAAGCAGCAACAATGAAGATGCAGTGTCAGACTTGCTTCTGCTGCTGCTGTTGCTGCTGCTGCTGCTGCTGCTGTTGCTGACGCTGTTGCTGCTGTTGCTGCCGTTGCTGCTGTTGCTGCTGTTGCAACATCTGCTGCTGCTGCTGCTGCGGCATCTGCTGCTGCGGCATCTGCTGCTGCTGAATCTGCTGCTGCTGCTACACTTGCTGCTACTGCTGCTGCATTTGCTGCTGTTGCTGCTGCATCTGCTGCTACTGCTACATCTGTTGCTGCTGCTGCTGCTGCTGCTGCTGCTGCTACTGCATCTGCATCTGCTGCTGCTACTGCATCTGCATCTGCATCTGCTGCTGCATCTGCTGCTGCTGCTGCATCTGCTGCTGCTGCTGCATCTGCATCTGCTGCTGCTGCTGCTGCTGCTACTGTATCTGCTGCTGCTGCTGCATCTGCATCTGCTGCTGCTGCTGCTGCTGCTGCATTTGTATGTGTGCAGGGTTTCTGTTCGTTTGTCTCCTGCTGCTGTCGTCGCAGCAGCAACAGGAGGCTCAACAGCAGCAGGAGCAGCAGGAGCAGCAGCAGCAGCAGCAGCAGCAGCAGGAATAGAGTTAAAGGGTTTACTCTCATACTCAGAAGCAGCAACAATTCGTTTATGGGGGGGGCTGCTGCTGCTGCATGCGGCGGTTCTAGCGGGGCCTGTATTCTTGCTGCAGCAGCAACATGTGCGTTTATAAACCCTAAACCCTCATAAACCCTAAACCCTTATAAACCCTAAACCCTAAACCCTCATAAACCCTAAACCCTAAACCCTTGTAAACCCTTAGATAGATCTGCTGCTGCATGCGGCGGTTCTAGCGGGGCCTGTATTCTTGCTGCAGCAGGAACATGTTCGTTTATAAACCCTAAACCCTAAACCCTCATAAACCCTAAACCCTTATAAACCCTAATAAATCCTAAATGAATAAAAATTAAATTAATTTATTTAATAAATTTATATTTTATTTTATTTATTTGTTGCTGCAGGATGGAGGGGAAATAACAGCAGATGATTTA